GTATCAACGGTAAGAAATCAAAGTCATAACCGAATCGGTCCCAAACCGACGATTCGTCCTGTTTTCCTTGAAAGCAAGGCTCCGTACGCAAAAGCCGGGCTCTTTCCACTTTATTCGCTTGGAATCAGAACTATCCCGGTGGCACCGCAACTGTCCGAGGATGCTCCGAACATCCGAGGTCCCCAGACCCAACCTCTCGCCCGCAGACCTCGGTGTCTCGGCGCGAACCGCAGGCGTTTTCGTTTTGCAAGTTTGCCTGGGTTCCTGGCAGGGTTCTACACGCAAGACATCGGAAACGCTTTATCTACTTATCCCCAATTTGGCAGAACGTTCCGGCAGACGAAGGTTGATTAAAGGTTTGCTTAGCCATTAAAATATTCCATTAACGGTTGCCGGTTGTGTGCGTTCCGGGGCGCGTAGGTGAGGTCAGGTGAGTCGCGGCAAGAAAGAGGGGAAGATAAGCCGAAGACGACGCAGCGGAGCGGTAGAGGACCGAGGACAGGGTAGGAAGGATGGAAGGACGGTGAAGGAACCTTATTAAGGGTGTCTGTTCCGCCCCCTCGAGCGCTTAAATTTCAAACTGTCGCTCGGCGAAACACGGCGACGTCGTTACGGCTCGACCGTCGAGATTAAAGGCTTTCGAGATTCGAGAGATTTAAAGTCTGGAATTGTCCGCAATTAGTGCGAAACGGCAGGAGAGAGGACACTGGCCGGAGGGCCGCCGGACCGAGTGGGGCGACAGGGGGCCAGGGGCGGGAGAGAGGGCGAGTGGGTGGTTTAGGGGCGGCGGAGGGAACGGTAAGCTCCTTCAGGAAACTACAGAGAGCTTCCTGCAAGAAGCGAAAGAAGAACCAGCTGAACGTTAACGAGAGAGGTCTTAAGATGCGTCGCGATCATTATCGACGTTCTTCATTGTCTGAGCGATGTCGCATTTTCCTCGGCCCCCAGACAAAAGTATTGTTCTTCGGGATGCAAATAAGAAAGATGCATCTCCGCTCTGCGGACGCTGATACGAGGGCGGTTCCTGTTCGCGTCCGCCTACGTCGACTATTTTGGCTCCCTTGGTTTTCCTCCGATTGTCTTTACGCAGCAATAGGGTAGCCAAGCCGGTTACTGCGGGGTGTCCAATTGCCGTGCCTTTGGATTGTTCTCGGGCATAACTAATTTTGTATTTATCGAATAAGACATATTAAATGTTCTTATTTAAAAGAGAAACGAAATAAAAGACTATAAAAATCTAATATGTCATATTTGATATATGTGTGTGTGTGTGCGTGTGTGTGTGTATATATATATATATACTCGTTCAGTAATTAATCTTACCGATTCTCGTTCTCGTTAATTTATATATATATGAAGAATGCAATTATAAAATATAAAATATGTAATATATATATATGTATTTTTAATTGTTGATGTTGTGGATGTTTGGGGAAAATGGATTTTTTGGCTACTGTCAAAATAAATAGCTCATACGATTTATCGGAGCGGTCAAATTATTAGTGTACAATCAATATTTACCTTCGTACCGATTGCATTCTTACTCGTTCAGTAATTAACCTTGCCGATTCTCGTTCATTCTATTTTATACGTTGCGTTTAATCAGAGGATTCGGTAGTTATGAAATCATGATGTTTGCTTTTCAGATGTTTTTAGGTCACCGTGGCTAATTGCTTTTTAACATTGTAGAAATTTGTTTCATTAGAGGAACATTCGTTAGAATTCCGAAATATTTTGCTTCGTGGATAACTGTGTAATAACTGTATAGTAACTAGTTGTTAACTCGAGCGCACGTTTCGCGTCTGATAATTAAATGGATCCGTCCACGCAGGTGAATCGTTTATAATGTCTTGCAACTGGTGCAATATTTTCTGGAACAAACTATATAAAATCGAACGAGCGAATAGATACAGACGTTTTTATCGTAATCAATGACCGCAACGTAACGTTTAAGGTCTCCTGTTAATTTAGCGACGAATTCATTTCTAATTAACAGACTCGAATCTTTTTGAAATAATATTCTATTTGATTTCGGAATAATACAGTCTTCGCTGGGTTAAATATTGTCTAGTATAAAAACACGGGAATCCTTTTAGCTGCAAATTGTGCGCGAGTGGTTTTTAATGAGATCCTCTTTACGAGAGGATTTCCTAAGGAATATTTTTTAAGCGGGCGACCACGGTTGCGTGTTTCAACGTGTATCTATGAACGGAACGTCATTAATCGATCCATCAATTACGCCGAGAATAGAATTTCAGAATTCGTGTAATTCGAGCCTTCGTTGCACCAATTAAAATTAACGCCGATATTTCGCCGAACTATATTCAAATATTTTGCGATGCGTTCCGATATTTGGGAGCTCGTCCTGGAGCGAAAAAGAAGAGAAATTGCCTTATATTCGCACAAATTATAACGAACATCAACGACTTCGGTACTTCGACAAATTATTCACTGTTCGTAACGAGACCCCGTAATCTCAGACATTCAAAATTCGAGAGCGCAGCGAATAATCACGACGGCAATGATCATACATCCACGTGCGTGGAACGCGATGAAATAATTTCCGATATTGTCGCACGGCTACGAAACACAATATGCGTGTATTAAACTCGCGGTCCCGGTAAACGAACGCGAGCAAAGCAAAAATTCTGCTCTCTCGTCGACGATTCGTAAATCAAGCAAAAGGGAATCCAGCAAATACAAACCGAAAATACGCGCGACCGAAAAAAAACTTGGTCAACGCAGCGGAAAAAATCATCCCAGCAGAATCGTAATCCCCGAAACAAACCTATATCCCGAACTTCGCAAACTCTCTCGGAAATATTACAGGAAAAACGGTTTCTAAACACGAAGACCGAGTCGGTAACCCCTGCCGCGTACAAGGAACATTCGTTTTCCCTCACAAACACGTTACTCCCAATTATCGAACAAGAGCGGAGCATAATCACAGTTCATTCATAACGATCTCCGCGGACAGGATTCGGTAGTCTCGAGACCATCGCACCCGGAAGTCACGTCCGAGCGGAACACGGGTCGCAGGCCAAACGAGACCGAGCCGAACCGTGTCACGTATGTGTGCATTGTGTGTCGCGGGTGCCGCCCGGCACGAACTGTTTTCACGCATGAATCACTCACAGCGTCTGAAGAGACGGGGCTCGCGCGCTAAGCCGCCTGGGCTCGGCACGGAGCGAGCACAGGCGAGCTGTGTTAGCCACGCGGCGGAGACACACGGGGGCGATTCGTATTCCACAAATTCGATTTGCACGAGCGTGTCACGTGCTCGCCGGTTACCTGGCTGCCGATACGCGGCGAGGGAACGTTTCGAGGGTAACGCGCGGAAACGTTGCGATCGCGCGTCGAGAACCCGTATCACTTCTGGGACCGCGGAAGCGATCCAGGGAGCAACGGAGGCTCTTCTGGATTGCGCGCGACGCGAACGGACCGTCGCAGCCACGGCGAGCCGAGAAACGACGAGCCGTTCCAGCAGCCGCAACTTCGGAGCTAGCAACAGTTTCGAAGGAGATCGGAGAGCGTCGCGGCTCGAACATCGAAGAATCCTGGTTCACGATCGTCTTCCAAGACGAGGAACGCGGCAGAGGAGGAGGACACTGTGGAAAGAGTACACCGAGCACAGACTTACCGACGAAAATTAGGCATCGGGCCAGCATGGTTCGATCCTGTCCTTGGACCTGGGTCAACCTTGCACCCGGCAGAAAACACGAAGCAGGAAGACGAAGCGTGTGCCGGTCGCCGGGTATACGACGTCCACCGTGGCGCGCCGCTCCTCGTTGTCGTCGCTCGTTGCTCACGATTTCGTCGCGAACCCGCTCGTTCCTCTCGCGGACGCGGCGTCACGCTCGCCGGAGAGGATCACGCGACGACCACCGGCTACGGCAGCGGCAACGGCGACGTCGGCGTCGACGACGACGACGACGACGGAAGGGAAGCCCGACAGACTGAGACGATCGCCTCCGCGGTCCTCGGTGTCGATGACACGGTGCAGCCGACCGCGAAACTGCACGCGGCGGCGGCGATCAAAAAGAAGTCCGGCAGAAAACGCGGCGCGTCCACCCTCGCGAAAGTCTGTGGCCTCCGGCACCGCCGGCCACGACTGATCGTGCCGGAGAACCCCCGCGAGTAGAGCCGCGCATGCGTCCCGACCCTCTCCTCTTGTACCCTCACCGGTCCACCCCCCTACACATCCCCTTCCACCCTTTAATATCGGCCCTCTTGCTCGAGCGCGAGCCTCGTCGTGTCGTAGGGGTTGGAAAGGGTAGCTGCAGGTGCCACAAAGAATGAAAGGGAGGACGTACGCTGCGCGGCCGTCGCACGCATCCACCATTCGGAGATGTTCCCGATGCGTTATACTTTTGTTTCGTTTCCTCTCTTCCTCTTCCACCCCTTCCTCTTCCTCCTCCTCCTCCTTCTCCTCCTCCTCCTCCTCCTCTTCTTCTTCTTCTTCTTCTTCTTCTTATTCTTATGCTTATTCTTCTTGCTCTTCGTCGTCTGCTCTGTTCCGCTGCTTCTGATACTTCTTCCTCTTCCTTTTCTTCTTCATCTTCTTCTTCATCTTCTTCTGCTTCATCTTTTGTCATTGTTGCTTCCCGTCAAGGTTCGCTTTTTCTACATTTTCCGGCTTCGTTTCCCCTTCTCCTTCAAACCGATTCTAATGTCATTCCTTGAACTATATTCCACATTCAACGATTCATGCACAGCATAAATTGTCTGCATCGATTGCGAAACATTGGAACGATATATAATTTTATATCTTTTTTCAATCATTTTGAGTAGTCGAAGTTGGTATACCAATATTTTTAGTTCCTTCTAATCTTTTCATTATATTCAGTTTTTTCTGTCGCTCTTCCGTGAATCGTCATCTTCTTAAGTTCAGCGTTCGCGTGAAATGTGTCGGAAAATCTCGTGTAATTTCGAAAAATAAAATATTCAATTGCTTCGCATGAATATAATTTAAAAATGTTCAACAAATGCGATGCATTTCGTTTCGAGGAAAAAAAAACAAACTCAACAATGTGTACAGTAAAAATATACAATAACGTCATAGTAAAATCGAGAAAAACAAGTTACAGAAATATGGAACTTTCATATTCGATGCGACACGCCTTTCTGTTGTCCGATCGATTTCAAATATTTCACGGATTATTTTTCAAACGAAATAAAATATTCGAGGAAATAAAAATGTATAATTCACATTTGATATTCACATTGTTCCAGTTATCAACGGCAACCATTTCAGTTTGCTTTAGGATCTGTTTGATCTCGTTAAATATTTGCAGATTCATGAAATGAAAAATTGTTCAGACTTTACCTTCGATCGTGGAAATCGATTAGACTCGGTTTCATCGAACCAGTGGCAATAGCTAATTTCGCAATTCACAGTGCACAAGTTTCAAGCAGATATTCGTATTCTCAATTACTTAAAAGTATAGAAGGCCGTATTTACGAGGTTTGCAGTCCCGTCTCGCAAGATGATACTTGAAATGCAATTCTTCATCTGACATTCTTATGCATCGTTTCGAGCCACCGAATTGGCCGAGTCGGTGAACGGTTCGCGTCGAGTTCGCGATGGAAAAGACCGGGAAAGAGAAGGTATCGATTCGATACGCGTTTGTCAGTTTTTTAATTTTATTTATTTGCGTTACACGTTGCCGGGAACGGGTTGTCGGTACGCTCGCCGACGACAATTAATGGCATTCATTAAGACTTATTCCAGTCGCGGTGTAATGAAATAAAATGTTCATTATGCGCGGAATAATTGCGCTGAAAATTCGTAGGAACGAGAACGAAACAAATATTCTTTCCTTTTAATGGAGAGAGGCTGAATACAAATTTCCTTTCATTCTCGAGCTAATGATACTCTGTAACCGTTATACCCTATATTATGCTTCGCGTATTCAGACTTGCCGCGAGCGAACGCGATCCGCGGTCTAATAATGATAAATTATTCGGAAATATTTTTTCGACCGTGCCAGAGACCGCTAGATTGCGCGAATCATTCCTCTGTGCGCGCCCCGTTGTTATTTGCAGGCTCTCCTCTATATTAACCTATTTCTACCTCTGCTCCAGATTTTCCATATTAAATTTTCATACCCGTTTGCGACCATATTTTTTCCACTGTGATAATAATAAATGAATTTCGAAACGATGACAGGACCTAAAGCAGAAATATAGCCCCGCAAAAAGGAAACTAATCTCCGTTGTACGGGCTTTGCGCTCCGAATTCACCGTTTTGCAGGTCCATTCAATTTTCATCAAATCAAATTCCTTCTTTTGTAAACCATGCTCGACATTTTTTTCTAAAACGAATACGTTCGTCCGCGAATCAAATTCATTTTGCGGCTGTCTCAAAAGTTTACAGCACAATTGTTTGGAAATTGCTCGACGGATAAAAACAATTGGACGAAGTTAGTTAGTTATAAACAATGCGAGTCTTTAGAAGATCCAGGAACTGCGTGGCCTTATCGCTCGATTGTACTATTTCCCAAAAATTTTATTCTATGCAAAAAATAGCGCGAATTTGAAGCGTAAAAGGGCGAATTTAATTTGGAAGAAGGATAAACGTGTTTGTAAAGGGTGAATTTGATTTTAGAAAAGTTGAATATAATTTGCGAAACGATGAATTTGGAGCTGCTCAGGGTGAATTTAAGTCGAAGGAAGGATAAATATAATTTGCGAAGGATGAATTTCGAGTGCGAGACGGTGAATTTGATTTGAGAAAAAAAGGTGAATATAATTTACAAAAGGATGAATTCGGAGCGCAGAACCTGCATATATATCGTTTCATTCTGTCTCCAACCTCGATTCAATCCTTTGTTCGTTGACAATAAGAGGATTCTATTACTTTTTTTTCCGAGCGTGTTCTCTGCATACTTTTCTCTCGATTTTTTAAAAATAATTGCCACAAAGTATTTCAGGTGGAAACAGTTAAAATAATATTCAGCTGTTCGGTACGATCTGCATTTCCTCCGTTCCGAAAGAATAAAACGTCCACTGGCTCGTGCACGTCTCTGGCTCGGGTTTCTTTCGGCAGAAAGTTTCGCTCCGACGAAAACTTGACGCGCGGATCAACCAGCCACCCCCCCCCCCCCCCCCCCCCCCCCCCCCCCCCCCCCCCCCCCCCCCCCCCCCCCTCTCCCCCCCCCTC